AAAAAAAAAAAAAAAAAACTCTAAAATCCAACCAAAACGAATTAAGATAAGACGAATAAACATAAATTAGAAATCGAAGTTTGCCAACGCAATTGAAAACAAATTAGCATGGCGTCGCTATTGACCCACCATCAATAATACTTAATTGAGACACCATCCAAATCTTTTACGTTATTGAGGTTTAGAATGCCTGCTTCACTGCCTGTTTGGGATTGGGTTGCCTGACCTGATCCAACAGGCCGTTTAATAAGAAACTAAGAAATCCATGGTCTTTGGTGGCATCGGTCTGCAGGTTCCAAAAGCAATAGAGCCCGGCTTTCGTAATTAAAGACCCGGAGTTCAAAAACAAGAGCAGCCTGTAATTTGGAAGAAAAACTTTACTTCCTAAATCGAACGATCGAACGGAGGGTTATAGGAGTCCATAACAATTTCTTGAAAACTTTGTCTTATAGCCCCCTCCCGCCAGTAATCGGGATTCAACGTTACACTGCAATTCAACTGGGTGAAATATGGTCTCGGAAATGCAAAACGGCTCCAAGGTATGATAAGTACAGTGTGTGTCGCTGGCAAGTCACACAAACAAAGCTGGGTTGCTGTTAAGGAACTTAAACTAAGTTACTGTAATGGGTATATACAATAATCAAAATGGTTCCCCTAATGTAGTGACCCTATATTCCCCCAGCTTCCATTCCATTTTCTTTTCCATTAACTCTAAACTCTAAACCCTAAGCCCTATATTGTACCCGCCCTAAATTCCTAAAATAACTCAAATTAAGTTCCTTAACCCTAAACCCTAGTATACCCCTACAGTAGCTCAAATTAAGTTCCTTAACAGCAGCCCAGAAGAGCCCAGGCCTTGGTGAGCGCAGCCCGTAGCTCTGCCTGTCAAACTTGATATGTTAGTTGTTTAGGGTTTAGGGTTTAGGCTTTAGGGTTTAGGCTTTAGGGTTTAGGCTTTAGGCTACCTGTCCCCAAAATGGCCATAATTTAGGTTCCCTGTCTGGTTAGGATGCCCTTTGAAGGAAGTGTATTCCCAATGGTCCATACTTTACAAGGACCTTTAGAACAATCCCCATATCATGCTTTTGGAATACCCTCTCAAGATCTGATATTACCGTAAACCCTAAACCCTGAACTCCAATCCCCAAACCCTCAACCCTAGAAACCCTAAACCCCTAAACTCCAAGCCCCAAACCCTAAACCCTAGAAACCCTAGACCCTGAACCCTAGACCCCAAACTACAACTGAATTTATGCCTCCAGCTTGCTCCGAAGCTCTCGGCGCAGCTCAGCCAAGTGCGCAGCCTTCACCAAGGAAGAACGCAAGCCAAGGTCAGATAAGACGCTGTATATGAGGTCACAATATGTCAATATATCTAGGGGAATGGAAGAGAACATGGAAATTGTAATATCATATTATACTAAGGTATGTATCGGGGATCTACAATGAAACAGATTGCCAGATTGCGCATGCTGCTGTCTCTGCTCTTCCATCTGCCTAGGTACCGGTTGCTTCTATGGATTCCCTAAACCCTAAACCCTAAACCTTTAAACCCTAAACCCCTAAACCCTAAACCCCTAAACCCTACACCTCTAAACCCTAAACCCCTAAACCCTACACCCCTGAATGTAACCTTCCTTCACCAACCCAGGTCTTGGCCTGCAAGTGTCCAGCACGCTGCATAATGTCATGCCTTGGTGAGAGCCCCAGTAAGCAACTCATAGGCTTCCTGAGCCCATAAGTTGGGGTATATTGGGTGCTTCCAATTTCTTTTCCGTTATCCCTATATTATCTATAGCCCTATATTACCCTACAATATCCCAATATTCCCCCAAGGTACTATAATATGTCAAAAAAAATCGGTGCTCCGCGCCTGAATGGAGGTGCCCGGTGCTTGCGGAGCAGGGAGTTGAGATCCTACAGAGCTTCCACCATCAATCAAGGCGCAGATTCATGGAGAATCAAAAGCTTTAAGTTTTGTACCCTCAATATTTGTAACTAGGTTTGGGGTCCCAAATACCCTTATCAAGGGCCATATTCCATGGTTTAGGGACTCAAACCCAAGGTACAAACCCCAAGGGTACAAAGGACAACTCCCTAAGAGAAGGCGGCAGCTGCGCAAGGTAAGTGTCACAGGTCAGGCTTGCAGATGCCGCATGTCACATATTTAAAGGCACTTTACTGGGAACCCCAAACCGGGAACCCCAAGAATATAGTAGGAATATAATCGGAATATACCTACCAGGGTCCCTTATATTCCATTCTATTCCTGCTATACTCTTGGGGTTCCCTATTTGGGGTTCCTAGTAAAGTCCCTTTAATATTCCAGCCACAGGCAGCTCAGACATTGCATCTCTCAAGGCCATGGAGCTACAACTACAAGATACTGCAACTTTTTGCAAATCCTGCTGGGATATGAGCTCATGCTGACGTGGCCTGGAGAGCTCGCGTGCGGCGAGTCTCAGCCAACTGCCTCTCCTCAGGGCCCTCTGCCTGACCCAGCGTCAGAACAATGATGAAGACATACGCAATGCATCAGGGGATTTTGACAGTCATCCCAAGGATGAGAGGCGCCCTTGCATTCAGCGCACCTCTGATAGGTCCGCATTCTCCACAAATAGAATACGGGAGAGCGGCGCCGGACCAAGCATAGCCTAGCAAGCGCAAGCACGGTGGACCGAAATAAGGACGCACGCAGGACCCAAGGAAACATAGATTTGGGCACACGAGCAGCACTCTGCGGGCATTTGCAACAGTGTCCTGCAACATACTGACTTTTGAAGATCTTCATTGGACAACTTCAGCTCGGGGCTATCATGGAAGCAAAGTGAGGTGAAGAAGCCACCTGTGCACGAAAGTTCTCCCACAATGCGTGCGTAGCGGTTTCAGCATGTTGCCTAGCTTGGGCATCTATGAAAAAACAAACGGTAATCATAGAAACCATAGTATTTATAGCAATAATAGTATTTACAGCAATAGTAGTACTTAAAGCAATAATAGTAATTATAGCGATAATAACACTTGTAACAATAATGGTAATAGTGCAAAAGCCGTGCTAGACTTGTCCGCCTGCTCTTGCAGCCATCGCTGGCGGGTGTCCACCTCCCGAGCCAGGCCTTGGCGATCTGCTAAGGTCTTCACACGTTCAGAAGCCAACTTATGTTTCCAAAACAGTCCTAGCATTACTATTGTCCACACCTATTTCTATTATTGTTACTATTAGTACAACTATTGTTACGATGATTACTAGTATGGTTCTGCTTGCAACTCGACTGTTCGGAATCCAAGGCTACAAGCTTCTTTGTTGAAGACCCCTGTCGCCCTTTGCTTTTTACCCTTCAGCTGGGAGGCGTGCGGCCTGAACGCGTGATAACCATGTACAGGTTCGGCCTAAGCCATGCCTATATACTATCATGATACTATCATTATACTATATTATACTATAAAATACTGCAATATACTATGATATATTACTATACTATAATATACTATACTATATCATATTATATT